ACCGTTTCGGGGAAAGAATTAGTGAAATATGCTGCCTCGTTGCCCAAGTGGTCCCAAGTGTGACTGCCGGACAAGGGGTCTCGGGTTCGATTCCCGAGTAGGGCAAAGTATTACCGGGTTTTAAAAAATCGCAGTAGTAGCACGGAATCTGGAAGTGTGCCCGGTATCGGGGACAAAAGGCGTGATTTTATGTTTATGTATTTTAATATAAGCATGTAGCAGTATAAAAGCAATTAATTAGTTAAGTGTCAATAAAAGTAATAGTAGGATATGTTAACTTTAATTGATGTTTCCAGGACGGAAAAGTATATTAGGAAAGGTATTAAAGTGATGCTGGTTGTGAGTACATTATAATAATTTAATGTGTTGTTTAAGTTTTCATTCACTCAATAGAATAAAATGTTTAACTTTGACATTAGAGAAAGTTCCTGTGGTTTTATGTTATTTATTTTACAAAACCAACAGCGTTACATATAGTTTACAATTGTTCATGTGCATCACAGAGATTAAACTGTCAAACACCAAGCGGTCACCGGTGACCGCAACCTATTGTTCTATAATTGTGTCTATAATGACGGTACTCGACGAGATAATGCTAATAATGGGTTTGCCTTATTCTGTAAAGATGCGAACGGACTGAACAAAATAAGATCAAGAACAAACAATGATTTACTAAATCACTTACAAAGAGTTATATTTCGGAATAATAATTTAAGATACGGAGTCGGTCGGTCAGATTGCTTTTATTAATACATTTAATAATTTGTATTTTATATTTAGGTTTAGTGGAGTGCAATTAGGATATAATGCTCAATAGAAGATTGGAGTTCGCATTCGTAGCATTTTAGATTAGACTTTACCTTATCACATTGGATGTCGTATCAGACACTGATGACGGACGCTAGTGGAGGATTAGCCTTTAACAGTTTTAGGCAATTATAGGTTTAAGTACTTATATTGCTATTTTGACACATGGGACGAGAAATATAACTTATTTTCAATAGGGTGACAAGCGGACAAAAGAATCACCTGGTGGTGAGCAATCGGCACCACCCATGAATATCCGCTGCACTTAAGGAGTTACAAGTACGATGCTGACTCTTTGGGGTTTATAGATTTTAAAGGTTTGGGGATTGGGTATGAGGGAAAACCGGTAAGGACTGGTCGAGCAGTCTCGTGCAGATGCATAATAATACTTGCAAAATAACTCCTCAATGGACAACACTCTATATCTAGGAAATACAAAAGTGGAATAATATATTTTGTTATCAAACTAAAACATTTCTCCTGTCAGACCCCACTTGGTTGTCTGTTAAATAAACAAAAGAAAAACAACATAATGTACATAACAGCTGCCCGTCAAACCGTTTAGCTTCGATACTACTCTGTAAATAGGTCATTGTGTCACTATTTACGGAGGTACCACGAAAAATATATTCTATTATACTTAAGCATATAGTCTATTATCGAACAAACAACTGAAATCAATCATCACCTGATAGGTGTTTAGTTTCCCGTGAATGTTCGAATTTATTGTCATTCAATTTAAGGTCTATTACTGGAAGAAGACAAAAGTCATAATGCTTATAGTAATTATTTCAATACAGGATTATTATCAGATTGCCTCGTTGGCCGAGTGGTCGCAAGTGCGACTGCCTAGCAAAGGGTTTCGGGTTCGATTCCCAGGTCAGAAAAAGAATTGGTTTTAAAAAAATCTCAATAGTAACACGGAGTTTAGAATTGCGTCCGGTATATAGCAAAAGGCTCACTACCTATTACATGGAACACACAACATCCGTAAATAGTGAAATGTGGGTATTATATTGCACAGTGGCAATAAGTACCATAATGTTTGTCTCTGCCCATCTCTTCGATGATAAAAGGCGTCATGATGAGCCAAAGCCTTCTCAGCAAAAGAGGAATTTGCTATAAACACTTGTAAGACAATTTGGGAAATAACACAAGGAAATAACGCAACTGTTGTTTCACGTTGATTATCTGTCGAATTGGCCCATTCGTGCGGAAGCATGTCTCTCTTACACTCTATTTTTAATCGACTAAATTACATTTCTTTGTGTAAACCACACATTTTTGGGTAGGTAAGGTTTTTAATTAAGAGACATGCCTGTCACAGCTTCTCAAAACCACTGCAACTCATGTAAGCCAGGATCTGCAGTAGATACAACTAAGAAAACACTGGAACAATGAAGTCCCAGGAATATGAATAAATGTCCTGATTATTTGGTCAAGGGAACCAAGACAGATATTATGAAAGGAGAAAAAGAGAAGAATAGTTGTTGGTTAGGTTCTGAAGTAACATAAATATGTATGTGTGTGTGTGTGTGTTTTCAAACGCATTTATGACAATGAAAAGATTCCAGTGTAATTTTTCTCGTATTTACGTTTCCTTCACAATCATCGGGAAAACTGAAGAATACAAAAAGTATTTCAACATTCTATTCGACCAACACCAATACTTGAATAAATCGATACTAATGAAGTATTAACGTGCTAATAAAAACCTTCACAGAAATGGACTTGATCGAACATTGTTTTAACAAAAAACTAGGAAATACTGAATATTTGATACAATAACAGTCGATACCAAAAGTCATTGAGTACGTTTTTGTAATAACTATCTTGAGACATACTAAATTAACGACTAAATAGCGGGTCACTCAACTTGCGGCCCGCGGTCGCAGCTGCGCGACATCGCCGCGACCGCGCACGCTGCTCATTAAGAACCCCTTTGTGATTCGAAACTAGTAGAGCTTTTCTCAATATTTTTATGTCAATAACCATTAATAATTTATTTAGTCATCAATATAATTTAGTCGTGGTGGCCCGGATGTTGAAGACGCTCGTTTCTCATGCATTGGGGGTGCGGGTTCGAGACCTACCAACGGCAAGTACCAATGTGACTTTTCCCGAATTACATGTACTTTCTAAGATTATTTGGATGCCATTGACAAACGGTGAAGGAAAACATCGTGAGGAAACCTGAGCTTATAATTTCTAATTATAAGTTTGTAATCGCCAACCCACATTCAGCCAACGTGGTAATTAATGCTCAAACCTTCTCAGTGTGAGAAGAGGTTTTTGCACAGCAGTGGGCATTTATAGGCTGTTGGTGATGATGATGATGAACCATTAAGTCATTGAGTACGTATAAGTAACGGTTTTAATATAGGTACTTCGTTTTGCACTTTATGAACCATGCACAATGGACATCTGCCAGGTTCTTTTCAAAGGTCTTATGACTGTAAAGGCAAAAAACAATCTCATTTTTCGTGGAAAATTGTGAAATAGAAAGGAGAAGAGAAGAAAGAGAAATTTCGCTTTTATAAAGAAC